ACAATGTGAGCAAGAATTCCAGCGAGCGCTGAGCTGCTGCATCGAGGGGGGGGGGGGGGGGTGGCGCGCGTACCTGCAACAGAGACAAAGTGAATACAAACAGGAGCTAGTTTTCAGGAACGTGACTTAAAAATCCAACTTTTGATATGTGCCATTTCTGGGTAGAAATTGCCTATCCGAGTGGATTCTCAGACCAGCTCCATCTGTGGGAAATCTTGTGAAGGGTATGGATTTCTGGATCCCGTCCCAGATCTACAGAAGCAAAATCTCTGGGGCTAGGTCCTGAGTTTTGTGGTGGAAACTTTTTTAAAAAGATCTATTTTTAACAAGCTTAGAGTAGGGGGTGGGTGCAAGGGTGGGGCTGGGGCTCTGATGCACAGCCAAGTTTGGGAAAGAATGACTGGCCCGATCTTCCACCTAAGACAAGAATCCATGGCAAAGTCCCCCTAGCTGGCTCCCCAGCCTCTGTTTGCAAAAAGCGTGAAGACAACCCCTCCCCCCATTAGATTAAACTTTATTTATTTATTTGAGAGAGAGAGAGAGCAGGAGCAAGCATGAGTGGAGGGGGGGAAGGGCAGAGGGAGAAGCAGAGAATCTCAAGCGGACTCTGCACCAAGTGTAGAACTTGACACAGGGCTCGATCTCACAACCTTGAGATCAGGACCTGAGCCAAAACCAAGAGTCAGCCACTCAACCGACTGAGCCCCCCGGGGGCCCCATTTTTTTAACTTTATTATTATTTTTTTTTAACCTCTCCCCCTGCCCTTAGATTAAAGCAAGACCTGTACCTCTCCCTCCATTTCCAACTTGATGGTGCGGTCTGTCCGTATATGCATCAGAAGCAGGTGTGAGGATTTCCATGCCTATGCCTTATCCTCAGATTCTTTCCTCTCCTTTTATCCAGACAAAGCCCCCTAATCTGTCCCAGACCAGCTCATGCCCTAATTCTCCCACAAAGCCTTTCTATTCCAATCAAGTCTGTAGTGAACTCTGCCTTGGCCAAGCTCGTAACTTAATATTGGTACCATTTATTTGACACTTCGAGAAAAATAATAACACAAGGTAACGGTGTCCTAACTTGCCTCATAGATTATAAGCTTCTTGACAGCAGCGGCTATTTCTTCTTTCTTGTCTCCTCTACCGTGCTCACTAGGGTAGGTTTACAGAGCATGCAGTAATCCCATAGTATTAATCTTGACTGATTATTTTCTGTGGTGTGATGAGCGAGGGTCTCAGGAACTCATCGCTCTCTGCTGGTCCGTTCCCATGCCCACTCCCGTCACCTCCACCCTCCCAGAAAAATCCAAGGTGGGTGGTCATGGATTATCTACAG